GTTGGGACCTTTCCAGCCGTTCCGGCCAAAAGCCCTTGCATCATGAGCATCAATTGGGATCTTTCCAGCTCTTCCCGGCCCAAAGCGGCAGCTGCATGAGCATCAGTTGGGATCTTTCCCGCTAGTCATCCTAATAGCTATCTATATGCTAGTTTCTCTAAAGAGGGGGGTAGAATCTAGATCCCCAAATGCTATAATGCTCAGTATAGGGATCTAGCAAGGTACCCCTAGTTCTGGGAAACCCCATATATCAATGGTAACAGTAATATTAATAGTAACTGTAATAATAGTAATACAGTAACGATAGTAATAATAGCAATAATAGTATGTACATCATCATATTTCCCCTCACTTTGATGCAGCCCTGTCCAAGAGATTTTTGACTGCCAGGATGTGGAGACCCTTGCTGGGAAGGTGGAGGCCGGGTGACGGGATTTTTTGGAGTTTTGCTTAAAAGGGGTTTAGGGTTTGGGGTTTAAGGCTTTAGGGCTTGGGCTTTGGAGTTTAGGGTTCGAATCAACATCCTCAAAAGTTTCAGTCATACAGTGACAGAAGCTTGGGAAGCAGCAGCGTTGGCGCGGTGTTCCTCGAGGTTTTGGGTTTGGGTAAAAACGGCAGAGATTGAGACATCATGGTCCAAATCCACGAGCTGCGAGAAACCAATCCAGCTCAAATGTCTAAGCTTCACGACTAGTGCCCCTCAGCGCCGTGGTGCTGGAATTTCGCCTTGTAGCCGGAGCCCAATGTGTTTTATGCCATTTCGGGCCCCGCTGCGGCTTGTTGGCAGGGATGCTTGTTTGTGGCAATGCCGGAAGAACCTCAAACAAGCACACGTCTTATGCAATATGATTATGACCAAGGTCCTCTAAAACTGCCGTGGCAATGCCCGAAGTAAGCGCACAGTATGAACATCGGCTGCCCCTGGTCGCATCATGACTGGCTTGCTGTTAAGGAATGTAATTTGAGTTACTATGAATGGGGCAAGCCTATTAATTCCTTTAGATACCCGGTATGGTAACGTAGTCTAAGTTCCTTAACAGCAACCCTCAACCCTGAAGCCTTAACCCCAAATCCTAAATAGTAGCTTCCATTTCATTTTCCATTATTCCAATATAAACCCCCTATAGTATGGTCACTTAAGTTCCTTAACAGCAACCCAGATGAGCATCAGCTGCCTCAAGCCGCTGGTTTCTTGCTGGTTTCGGCACTCTGTGAATACCTGGATAATGAGCAAGCGCACCTGGCTCAAAAAGGAAAGAGAGGAGGCTTGCCTCGTGCATGCAAGTTGTCCAATTTTCCCGGACTGAAGGGAACACCTGAACATTTGGAAAACCAATCCAGCATCAAACGCCCTACCCAAGACCTCCAATGTAGTTCCTTTTTGGGTCGTATATTAGAATCCCCTACCCAAAAACCTTAACAAACCCAAAAAGGAACTACATAGGAGCCCCTGGGTAAGCCCTAGTCCCATGACTTTGGGAGGATACCGGCGGATTGACTTTGGTCCCGGCCTTCTCGGGCCTCTTCGCGCCTCACTGGCGCGACGATGCTCGAGCCGTCGCGGTAGGTCTGCGGCCTTGGACCTCCTGCTTAGGGCTTAGGGTTTAGGGTTAAGGGCAATAATTTGGCTCACGGTTTTGCCCGGTGGGTTTAGGGTTTAGGCTCATTGAATGTTATTCCAGGTTAGAAGGTCAAAGTCTTTCTTGGAGACCCGGTCGTGAGGTGAGTGAGTTATGTTTACTAGGGGGATGTAGGGTCAGTCAAGAGCGAAATCTCGCACATGGCTCCCAAGTTCTCAAGCATCCTGGGTTTAGGGCCGGGTTCAGATCTTGACACTGCTCGGCCCGGGAAGCTTGATGTGAACTTTGGTTTTGGGGCTTGCGATTCAGTATTTGAGATGCATGTCAGCGGGCTGGACTCCCAAACATTGATGTTTCTCGGTTTCCAAAATACATGGCCTAGATTTTCTACAGCCCGTACAGGACTCACTGCGCTCGTGAGGTGTGACATTTTTGTGTACAATGCTGATACGTGCTGGCACCGCTGCTAGATAATGGCCATTTCAGAAAACTTTTTTGCGCTTGGGAGTGCTTTGTAGTACTGTAGGGGTTGGAATGCATCATTTGTGCGGACAGAGCTCTGATACTACGCTTGCTCCATGGCTTTGTTGCGCTGTCTTCTACTGAGACTGAAGTAAGACGATGCCCGCTGAGACAGATTTCTTGGCATTACGAGGTATGATTTTTGCCACTTAGGATGCCCGAGGTGTAGGCCAATTTAGGAACAACAGTTTAGGTACATGGTGCCCAAGCTGCAAGTATTAGAATACATAAGCTCGGGGGGTGTCTGCAGACACACCCCAAGACGCATCAAAACGTTCATTTAGAATTTGAGTGGTGCGCGGGTTCTCCTAGCATCCCACCATCTACATCTTCAATCCGAGAGACTTGCCAAGAGTTGAAAAATAGGTGTGGGATGCGTTATTCCACTTTTCGTTCTTTCTTTGTCTGGAAAAGCCGGCTTCTAACGTTTCATCTTTCTGGCTTTTGCCGTAAAGTTTCCAGAGCCTTTGTTCCGAGGCATGACCCTCTTCACCAGATTTGCTCTTCTGAAGCCCACAGTTTGAATTCCAAGGCCCTAAGCAAAACAACCTTGACCGTAAGCTCTGAAGCTTCTGAGTTGCTGTTAAGGCACTTAAGCTCCGTTGCTATAACAAGGAAAACCCGTTATTTACTACGTACCCATAGTATGGTAACTTAATTTCAGTTCCTGAACAGCAACCCTGAACCCTAAACCGTAAATAGTAGTTTCCATTTTCTTTTCCATTACCCCTATAAGTCCCTTAACAGCAACCAAGCCCTAAAACCTAAATCCTCAACCCTAAACACCCCCTGAGGCATGACCCTCAAAACCCCAATATACTATGGTAGTTTCCATTTTCTTTTCCATTGTCCCTATATAACCCCAATATACTATAGTAGTTTCCAATATTTGCACCCTTGAGGCATGACAACCCCTAAATCCTAAACCCTCAACCCTCAAAACCCTAAACCCTTAACCCTAAACCCCTAAACCCTAAACCCTAAGCACCCTGAGGCATGACCCTCTTCACCAGCAAGGAGCACATGTGTCGCGCGGCCCTGGAGTCCACAGCCTTCCAGGCTGTGGACATTATGGAGGCCAAGAGCTTGGTGTTCTGGGTTGGGGGTTGATAATATAACATTGGAAACTACTATAGTATATTGGGGTTATATAGGGACAATGGAAAAGAAAATGGAAACTGCCATAATATGTATTGGGGTTTTGAGGGTTTGGGAGGTCGATAAACTATAATAAGATCCCCATATACCACATATTCTATCTACTTGAGGGGGATTATAACCCCAAGATATACCTTATTATGATATAGTAGTTTCCATTTTCTTTTCCATTATCCCTATACCCCAAACCCCAACAGGCTGTGGACATCATGCAAGAGTTTGGTGTGCTGGGATGTGTGGGGTTTAACATCTAGGGTTTAGGGTTTAGGGTTTACAGTTTAGGGGGTGTGTGGGAGGTGGGGGGGGGGGCTTTTTGTAGTCTATAGGTTAGAATGGTCTGTGTTTTGGGACTTTGGGGTTGAGGGTTTATTGTTTGGGGTGTGCAGTTGTGCGTTCGGAGTTCCCAGTTAGTCTAGAATCTAGAAGTTTCTCGCAGCAGCTTCAGAATCGCTGGTCCAACGCACGCGCGAATGAAACAGTAGCCAAGAGAAGCTCTATACCCTACAACCCAAAACCTTACACCCTGTGCAGTAATGCATCTTCGGGACATCTCATGCCACGGAGAAAAGGTCCGAGCAAAAAAACACGCGCACCCAACTCCTGAGCCCAGAATCTTAAGCAAGATTCGCAGATCAGACTGGCTACCGTTGCCTTGAGATTTTGATATACCCTAAACCCTGAACCCCGAATCCGCGTGGCTCATAGACCTGAAAGGCCATGAAGCAAGACACCGGACTCCGCATCCTCGACATGCGCGTGGACGGCGGGATGACAATCAACAACCTGCTGATGCAGATGCAGGACAGTGACCGGGTTGCTGTCAAGGAAATTTGGATTCAGTTGCTGTGATACTATAAAAACTAAAATGACATTATCTATCATATACTCATAGTATGGTAACTGCCAGAATGTGGGTATATAGTAAATAAAGAGGTTCCCTTATCATACTAATTCAATTTAAGTTCCGTAATAGCAATCCCAGGTGAGGGACTCCCAAATTCTAAGCTGCGCTGGACCCAGACCCAGTACGAGGGGTTTCTGAGCCCTCCAAATTCTGGGTCCTTCCCGGTCCTTAAGGGTTTAGGGTCCTGACAGTAAGGCCGTTCGCTGTTTGAGAAGTCGCGTTTCTCAAAAGAGGGAGTACCTAGGGAATCCAGGGAGATATGGGCATTTGTACGCCGTTTACCTGTAGCATCATACAGGGACTATGTTGAGAAACTCCTCAACATCCGTAGCTTCCCGGACTCCAAAATCCCAACGCCAAGGTCCCAAAACCCTGAACACCTCAACCCAAGTCCAACAACCTCCTAAACCAAAATTATTTCAATCTTAAGCGGTTTATTCCTACAAGTCCTTTACAGGGCCCTAAGGGCACTGTTTTCTCCTATTGGTACCTGTAAGGGTTAACCCTTAGTTGGGATCCTAAGTGTCACGTAGTTACGAAAAGGCGGACATCCTGGGCATGAGCGTACTTCGATCCAAGCTGGCTGAGGAGCTTTGGGGGTGGGTTTAGGGTTTTAGGGTTTAGGGTTTAGGGGGTTTAGGGTTTCTACTGTCCAAGCCTGGATACTTGCCAACATATGGTCCCTTTAGGGGGTTGTAGGGGATGTATGTATAGACATGGTAGTAAGAGAGAACACAGGGAAAAGAATCTGGAAAACGAGATGGCAGCTGCGATTGTGTGAGGTAAGTCGGGATTGTTCCCAATATTGTGGTCCTAGATTCCTTTTATAGTTAGGCTATGACGTAGGATACCTCTGGTTTAGGGTTTAGGGTGAAAATAGATCTCAAAATGATATTGATATTGGTCTTCTAGCCCCTCCAGTAGAGGGACTGTACCCTATCGAAGCCAAAAAAGGAACTGCATTGGAGGGTCCAGGTAAGCCCCAACTCTCCATACCTCTATGCACCTCTATATATGCCCACACATTGCTCAACAGCACGATGTATCCGCCCACTTCCCCATACATCCCTACATCCTTGCACATCCCGATATGGGTGGTGTCAAAATTATGGTCCCTTTTGGGGTACCCTAAATATTAGGTGCCGTATTATAATAAGGATCCAACAAGGGCCATAATTTTGACAACCACCCATGTACAGGGCTATGTAGGGATTATGGAATTTTGTACAGTTGCGGAGCTCCCCTGGGCTCGGATTGACGAAGGCGTGGCTTCAGGGCTTTCGGTTTAGGGATTTAGGGCTCAGGGCTTACGAATGAAGAGGGAGACTTTGGGGCACTGGTTTTGGGTTTTGGGTCTAGGGGTCCTTGAAGGAAGCGGTTGGATGAATTTAGGCACAGTCGCTAGACCCTCCACTCTTTTACGGCACAACGGTGCAATCTCAGATAATCAGTATACAGGGACCCTGAACCCTGAAACCAATTTTCAGGCTATGCTTTGGGCCCTTTGATGCCTGGGCGTGGGGGCTTGCTCTGTCCCGGCGCCATTATTTGTCGAAGTGCAGGTCTGTGACTTGTTTCGTGGCACGATGTCTCATGACTGTTCGCTGACTGAGGTGATTGTAGATCGCCACATTATTTATGTTATGGTTCCCATGTCGTATGAATATTTTCTCACTGCTCTAGCTGTTCATATCACCACTGCTTTTTCGTCTACTGCTCCTACTGTCATTGAAAACAAGTCCTTATTGCACTGATGCTACGTGTTGCTACCATCATTCGCAATAAATAGTAGTTTCCATTTTCTTTTCCATTATCCCTATTTTACCCCAATATAACCATAATGCCCTAAGGTTACCCCAATATAACCCTAGTATCCTTCTCAAATCATTTTCGGCTCTGAGCCATTTGAGCAGGCGACCGCACTGGGTGCAGCGCTGGCAGCTGGCTTGAGCGTTGGGTTCTACGAAAAGAAGGACCTGTGGAGTTTAGGGTTTAGGGTTAAGGTTTAGGGTTTAGGGTTTAGGGTTTAGGGACCTGTGGAGGGGAGCCGGGAGACAGGAAGGTGTCCTAGCCCAACCTATGGTCCTTGTCATTCCCTGCTTCTGGGTTGCTGTTAAGGAACTTAATTTTAAGTTACTATATTGGGGAAACCCCATTACTTACTATATATACCCATTATGGTAACTTAATTTAAGTCCCTTAACAGCAACCCAGGCTTTAGCTGTACAGCTTCCGAGGAGAAAAGTGGCACCACAGATAAGGTTTTACCCGATGAGGGGCTGAAGGAGGAATCGCCTCTCATACCCTGAGCCCTCATGTCACAAGGCATATGGCAGAGACGCGAACTTAGCCTCCTGTACGATTCTGCCCTTGGGGGGAGGGCTCAGCATGTTGATTATTCGGCAACTGGGGCATGTCTCAAACGTGGCCAGATTCTGGGCGAGTGTTGATGAGCCTTTTTTTCTGTTCCGGGCATACAGGGGTCAAAACTTCTATAAACACATCGGGAGCAGGGTCTCCATTTACTGGCTGCAAGAGTCTGTTCCTTATACCATGCAAAAAAAGAGGTTGTCCAAGCCTGCGCTGGTGTTCAAGATTTAGACGAAATTTACCATTACAAGGGCACCCTCTTATCTAACATGCTTCCATTACACGGTAACTTCAATTTCCTTCACAGCAACCAAGAAGTTTCAGAGAAACTTTTTCAAGTAAGTTACTAATTACCAGGAGGTGGTGACGGACATTATCGAGAAGGCAGGATCATGTCCCTGCAGACTTACAAGGTTTGGGGTCTAGGGTCTAGGGTTTGGGGTTTAGGGCGTTCAACATGGTTTAGGGTTAGGAGTTACTGGTTGATGCAGGGTTCCCTCAAATTAGCTCAATGGGTGTCCCAATATTCAGGGTTTCCATTATAGCATGGATGTTTTTTCTAGGCCGCGCACATGTTTGGAACAACCCTAACCCCTAAACCTTAAACCCTAAACCCCTAAACCCTAACCCCCCAAACCTTAAACCCTAAACTCTCTGAGCCTTCAACCGTAAACCCTAAGGCAAACTCCCACACCTGAAGCCGCAGCAGGTTCTCAGTCTAGACGCGGTGCGCCAGCAGTTGTTGACCGTTGATCCCGTGGCTTATACACCTATAATCCTTCTCAAGGGCCCCTAGAGGCACCGCTTAGCCAAACTAAACCCTGAGCTGCTAATTAGCAGGCTGGCGGCTACGAGGTCTTCAAGGCCTCGACCACGCCCGCTGCAAGAAGAAAAATGATGCAACGATGGAAGGCGCCGGCTACTGGTCCATCTGGGGGTGTCCTAAAACTAGGGGTACCATTTCAGGGGGCCCCACATTCAGGATTATAGTGCATCGGGGTCTATAATGGGATCCCATTATTTTGGAAACTACCATTGTCCTTTTTTGGGGTTCTGTCCTACAGAAGGGGATGACCAGCTAGGGTTTAGTACTTTGAGTTTACCATTCTAGGATTTAGCATCTGCAGTCCCCTAGATACAGCAAAGAGACATCAACAACGAACACAAGGACTGAAACAAGTCCCTGAACGCTAACACCTAAGCTCTTCTTTCAGACATTTATGAGACATCTGAGGCCTCAGTGCATGTACGCCCTTAGCCTCACAGCCCCGTCTTTCAGAACAGTGGCTTAGTCTTGCTCAACAGATCTTCAGTTTTATGCAGAGGGGTCCTCCTCTTAAAGCTTCGATTTGGGACACAACAAGGAGCACCGCTGTCGATCCTACATCAGTTTTTCGTACTGTGTAGGGCTCCAAGTACTACGGATAGTCCAGAGATGATTCCGGATTCCAGTAGTACCCCTTGTCGAATTACAACATTCTGTTACATACAAATTCAGCAAAACCCAGAGGGTCCACATATACAGCCATTAGGGAATTTGGACCCATATTTCCTTCTATAGTTTGGAATTTGGGGGCCTGATTCCCTAATAGTTGTATATATGGACCCTCTGGGAAAGGTTGTTCACAGTTTAGTCCGTAAGAACCCAGAACTTCCAGGAGGGGGCCGCAAGATAAATAAGATTTCAGGCCAAGACCACAAACGCAAAAGAAACCCTTTCTGTACATGGTTTTAGGGTTTAGGGCTTAGGGTTTGGGGTTTAGGGTTTGGGGTTTAGGGTTTGGGGTTTGGGGTTTAGGATTTGGGGTTTGGGGTTCAGGGTTTGGGGTTTAAGTTGTTGGCTTCCAGGGGCCACCCAGACACATGTCTGAGGCCTCCCACTGCCACTCCTCTGTCTGGCCCCCCTAAACGTAAATGTTAGGGGTACCTTTTTCGACCCAATATACCCTAAGCCCGATACGCAACATACCCCCACTGTGCAGGATGCTGTTCTACAATATACTCATATGGGCCATTGTCTAAACTCCTAGTATCCCCCTTAGCAACTCCTATAAGACTCCCCTATGTAATCCTCTATATAACCCCATTTAAGGAGTTTAGACTATGGCTCATATCCCTAAACCCTAAACCCCAAACCCTAAACCCTAAACCCTAAACCCTAAAACCCTAAACCCTAAACCCTAATCCCTAATCCCAGGGTTTTGGATCGAGCTTTAGCATTGCCAGAGCCCCAGTGTTGGTGTAGTCGCATCACAGCCATTCCGTCTTCGCCTTCTTGGCATCGTGGGAAGCGGCGCAGGCGACAGCTGGCACGCAAAAGGATCAAGGCCAGAAGATCCATCTTGTTGCCTCCGGTTTTCAAGGACTTGGAATTGCTGCGCCGCCACCATACAAAGCCTGTTTACAAGATACCGTCAGTTGATTCCATGGCCAAATGGGGCAACTATGGGTATTCGGATGCTGCTGGTTCAGAGTACTATGCTTGGCCAGTTGCACAGCACCCTTGGAATCAAAAGGGTGGAGGCAATTGGAAAGGCAAAGGCAAGAGCAAGGCTGCCGCGGATCCTGGCAGTGGACAGAATCAGCAGAAAGGAGGACAGAAGACTCCTTCCTTTCCAAAATACGACTACAAGAGTGCACCACAGATCATTCCTGTCAAGAGCAGGCAGTCCGAGCGCGAAGCCCAGGAGCCTGGTGTTGTCCAATCTTATCAGAGGTTGGTGACGCAAGCCCGAAAATGCGAAACCAAGGTGAGGAAACTGTGTCAGGAATTGACAGAAAAGCGGGCTCAGTGGAAGTGCTACCAGGAGGAGATGAAGTGCACATACCGTGCCGAACGAAAACGCTTCCTCTCCGACACCATGCGCATCGAAGCTTCACTTCGCGAGGCAAAGATCGAGGAGGAGACAGCCAAGGCACAACTGCAGACCCCTCACCAGGATTCCCTGGAGGATCTGATGATGTTGGATACAAAGATCAGGCCGGAGTGTGACAAGGGAAGGCAGTGTTGCGGCGTCCAGTTGGACGACCATGCCTCAGACGCCGTCGGACGAGCAGATTGGAAGGGCTTTGAGAGAAAGGCAGGTGATGGCAAGTACGCAGGTGACCCAGGACAGAGTCACTACAGGTGGCGAGGAGCACAAGCAGAAGACGCAGGATGCATCTTTGGCTGGCGGCGAGCCATCAGGTGGCGTCCTGCATTATTCCCAGATGCCATCGCCATTGCCTGCACAGGCAGACCCATACCTGCAGACTTCTCCTTTGCAGTACTTGACAGGCCCCACACCGAGGACCAGGAAGGGCCCGGGACGTGCTTCTCCTGGGACTGTTGGTTCCGGTGGATCAAATGGCAGACCTGCAGTAAAAGATGCTGCGAAGCCAGCAGCGCCGAAGCATCAGGATGTCTTTGGGATGTCTCTGGCCGAGAAGTTGGCGGCACATCGTCTGCAGGCGACTGCAGCTGCCACGCCCGTGCTGCCACCTCCGAAGGAATCGCCAGAGATAAAGGAGTATCTCCGGACACACGCACCACACGACATCGGTGCTATGCAGGTTGCAACTCCCGGTGGGCCCCAGCAGTTCCTCCTCTACGACGACGAGGACTTGAGTGCGGAGGAGAGCGATTCCTCTCTGGGGGCTTTCATTGCCAAGAATGCTCTGGATGCATTAGAGTAGCTGGAAATGATGGCTGTGGACAAAGCGGAAATGACATTTCATGTTGCGCTTGGTTTGGCTTCGCTATTGCGCACTCACATTGTCAAGTTCTGCTTTCTTTTGGGGCAATTTCCTTTCTTCAGGTCAACTTCGGCAATTCTTGTGGGGTCAAGACTTTCTGCAGATCTATCTGGAGACAACAGGAGATTTCGAATGACGCTTGTTACAGCTCAAACGGGGATGATCCGCTGGATCTTCAGTCTCTGGATGCCTGTCTGGCGTTGCGGATGACTTTTTGCCGAGTCTTTCTTCAAGATGAATGCTGCAGGCTGGTCGTAAGTATCAGGAAGCAGCGCTCCCTCCTGGAGAAGAGTTTTGTACCGTCTGGTTCCAGTGATGTGCGTTGCGGAAAAGGCGGTGTTTTTATGGGACAACGGGGTGGCCGCCTTTCCCTTGGGATTGGGGGTCATGTGCCGGCGGAGTCCATGCGATGCAGTGCCGAGGATACCAGCATGGTTGTTGTACAGTGCTTGTGTGGATATGTTCTTGGACTTTTGCCTAGGGGAACAGCAGGCTTTTTCCTGTGCAGACGTAGCAGCAATTTCTTTGGACAACGGGGTGGCCGTCGGTCCTGTGGGGCCGGGGGTCATGTGCCGACGGCGTCCAACCGACATAGAGCTGCATGTGAGAAATGTGTTCTCAACATATGCTCGTTCCGGATTTCCTTTGATTACATGTCGCGGGGAAAGACATGTCCTTTGCAATGCAGCCTGGGAAGCTGGCATGGTGTGCCTACGGCCCATTTACAGATTGCTGCTTTCATTCATTTTACTTGTGATCGGGCATCTTGGTGGCCGGTGCTTCAGCATATTTGCGACGCCTTACCTTGGCGACCGGCTGAGGTTTCATACTACGTTGTGTTACTTCTGCAACGGCAAAATCTGCTGCCGGACGCGTACAGCTTCGCAAATCCTCAATCCAATGCTTTGTGCCCAGCGATTGATGGCACACCCGGAGACCCCAGGAGCATGCTTTTGCTCCTTTCGGAGGAAGAACAGACGAATGGCCATGGTGGGACCCATGGCTGGCTATACTGGAGACTTCGAAAGCTACAGTATAAGTTGGATTCTTTCTTGACTTGTTTACTTTGCTGGCTTTGGGCTTGCGTGCAATCTTTCGGGGAATGGTGGCAACAGGTCTTCATGTTGCTCTCAATGATTGCTGGAAGACACCTTGGTCAACTCTTGCTTTTTGCTCTGCAGTTGAAGGGTGGGCAGTACAATGCCGACAATATCCTGCGTGGGTCACGGGCATTGTGCAGTGGTTGTCCACTAGATGCTGCTGTTGGCCTGAGCAAGTTTTCCCCCAGGCTATCTTCTATGAAGTCACCTAGGAAGCTCGGATTCTCAGCTGACCTCTGGCTCTTTCTTATATTGCTCAGCGCCATGTGCTCGGGAGTCAATGCAGGTGCTGGCAGTCGACATCATGTGGACAGTGCTGGGTTCCGAGCTTCTAGGAGATCACGCAAACTTTCTTCAGCCGTCTACAATCTCAGAACGGCATGTAGGCACCTGGACTCACCGGATACTCCCGCAGACAACCCTGATGGTCAGCCTCCTGAGGATCCTTCGTCCGACAGCGAAGGCGACTGGGACTTTGCGACAGAGAGCTTTCTCTTTCAGTTCTTTGCATTTGGCTGCCTTCCAGCGAACATGGTTTGTGCCTTTCTGGTAGGTATTTCGCTACAGGAGGCTATTGATCAAGTTAGCGTTGACGCCATAGTGCCGGTGCATGATGAGTCTGGAGTGTTCATTCCGGCGAAGGGCGTTCCGTTGCGAGACTCGGTCACGCTGATCTGGCGGCCTGATTGGCTGGTGGCGTCATACAACCATGTTTTGTTCGTGGATGCCTCAATGCTTGGGAGATATCCTTTTGTGATCCAATTCCACGGATTTACAATATCGTACGCTGCTCTTGCGGCACAGCTGCAGCCTATCTGGGCTGAAGAACTGGACTACATTTATGTTTTCGTGCCTTTCTTTTCCCAGGAGCCAATGCAGGAGCAAACTCGCTTCCCTGCTTCTGATGGGCTGACAGTGGTACTGCAGCGTGACGCAATAGTTCCAGCACGCATCCCTAATCCTGCTGAAGCTTTCAAGCAGTACAGGCTTTGGGGAATGGATGTCGAGCAGGTTGACCAGCCACCTGCCGATCTCCGATGGCCAGTCGAAAAAGTTCAAATGTCGCTTGACTCTGAG